GAAGTCTTCCTTCCCTCTGGTACTGAGGACTGAATCCAGAGGTGCCCTACCACTGATCTACATCCCTAGCCCTTCTCATTCTTTTATTTTTGAGACAGGGTCTCGCATTCTTGCCAAGAATGCCTTTGAATTTGCCATCGTCCTGCCTCACCCTCCCCAGCCGCTGAGATTGCAGGCATGAGCAGCAAGCCTCCTACAGTTGAAGACTATTAAATGCCAAAGGAAAATTCTAACAGTAAATGAATAAAGAAGGCTACAAGAAATAAAATGTGATCTAATTTACAGAAAAATCTTACGCTTTTAAGTTTTAAAATATAGGAAGAAACTGCATCAAAATGTTTTAAAACACTACCCTATATAGTGGAATTCTGGATCAACCTTTTTACAAATTTCTAAATAGACCTCCATTACATTTACCCACCAAGTGTGAGTGTGTGTCTCCATGTCTGTACCTGTATCTACAACACCTTGGCACCATTTGTTCTTATTTGCTTTATTTCCATCTCTAACTCCTCACTTCTCTATCTAGGCAAAGAGAAGTCAAAAAGGAGGGACATCTTTTTTTCTGGCTTCCAGGGTTTAGGAAGAGTTAATTAACCCCTAACTACCTCCTTAGCTTAGGCGTAGCACTGACTTTAGATTGGCTGATAGTGACATCATGCCAGTGGCAGCAGCCAATCGTGGCGTTCCTACCTAGGAAGTCCCAGATGCCTCGGTGTTGGGGGGGGGGTGGGGAGAGTGTGGCTCGGCTCTGGAGAAGGGAGTCCCTCTGTGCACGCTGCGTCTCCACTCCGTGCTCCTGCGTCCCACTTACCTGGACCTTCGGGGCTTGGGCGTGCTTGTTGTGCACACAGCCCCCGCCTGGCTCCCCTCCAGGCCTCGCGTCCTCTCCTAGCCCTTCTGTTGCAGCTTCACCAGTTGCTTTCAGGCCACCGCTGTCGCTTGCTTGTTTTCCAGCGGGTGACCCTGGGTCCTGCTGACAAAACCCTGATTCCTAATCAGTGAAGGCGACTGCTGTCTTTTGTTGCCTGGCGCTTGGCCTCTTTCTGTTGGGACGCAGCCCAGCGCTTCCTCCCCCTGGCTTTTGTGTTCAGGTTTCCCCTCCTGGCCTCACAGTTGTCAAAACAAAACCCGTGGCAGGGCACCAAAAGGCACCTCATTGCTGAATGTGACTCACGTTTTCTACAGGTTACCTTTTTCTGGCTGCAGTTGTAAGGCTTTCTCATTTACAAGACAAAGGAAGAAGTTGGGGGGGGGGCGAGGAAGGAGAGGAAAACAAAACTTGTGCATAAGCAAACCGTCCCCAAACCTCCATGGAGAACAATATTACTACGAAAGATTGTACAAGGTTGGAATTGCACCGGCTGGAGTTTTATGTTTGGCTTTAGTCGAGAAAACATTTCTTTATGTCTTAAATTTGTTTTCTTAAAGTGGCTTCATAGTGTTCCGTCATATGTAATAATTCACTTAAGTCTTCCCCTACTGGTGGATATTTGGGTTATTTTCCACTCCTATTTTAGGTCTGTCACGAACAAGGGAGGCTCTTTTGTACATTTTTCTTGTGCCAGTGTATGAATTATTTTCTTAAATACAAGTTTAGTGAAATTGTCATTTTACCTAAAATATTTTGGTTAGCTTTCTTTTCTTGTTACTCCAAATTAAATTGAAAGTCACTTAACCTAATATTAGAAACAAAATTATAGGTAGAGTTATGCCTTGTTCTGGATTGGATTGTGAATGTCCCCCATATGCTAAAGGCCTGGTCACCAGCCTATGAGGCTTGTTGGGAGGTCAAATGTATCATCAAAAGAGTTTTTCAAATGTAAGAAGAGATCAAATAAAAAACTGGGCTCCGAAAAAAAAGTATTAATTTATAAATAAACATGATTTAGACTTCACTTTACCAGTTTTGCAGTAGTTCTAATATGTTTTCAATTGGATCTCTTCAGTTTCTTGGCAATAATTATACCAGCACGTTTGCAGTGCATATGTGACATTGAGCTATATATATATATATATATCATATAAATACATATTTATATAAGTATGAATATAAATACATAAAAATAAATATATTAAATATATTTTATACAAATATTTATATTTTATACAAAATATATATTTAATATATATTAAAATAATTTTTTTAAAAATAAGAAAATCCTTTTATATCCCACTTTGAATTCCTATCTGAAATTATTGTCAATCCTGTTTTCTTTCTGTGTGGCTTTGTATTGTTCAGAACCAAATTTCTTGCTACTGTGGTTCATTTGGTCATTTAGTATGAAGTATTTTTGTAAACAGTTGATTATAATTTGTCTTAAAACTCTAAATTGAGAACCTTAGTTTTTAAATAAGACCATTTTAAAAATGTTTATTTGTTGGCATAGCAGCAATGACTTTATTTTGTGGATCTTTATTTACTTGATGTCAGTCTTAATGCATGTACTCTTTTTTCTTTTATATTTTTTCCTGTTTTGGAAGTAAACTGTGCTATTTTAAAAGTCTCTCAGTGTTTTAATACTCCCTTAAAATAAATGCTCAGTTAATACTTGTTTCAGCATCAAAGTACAGAATAAAACAAAATTTTTTTTTAAAATTCTTGTCCTTTCCACCCCTTTTCTTCTTTGTGAAGTAGTTTAGAAATTCTATATTTCCTTGCCTCCAAATGTTCAGGGTCTGGTTAATATGACCTGAAGTTATCTAATCAGATCATTGTTATTAAATTATACTTAACAGTATACATCATTTCTTCCGAGAAATATTTTTTGACAAAGTTAAATTATTCCAAGTACAGTTCATTGGAGATTTTATTTTCTGAACCTTTACATATTTGAAATCTTTTTTCTTTTTGTCTTCACAAAACTCGTCTAGGTATAAAATTCCAATGATTCACAATCTTTGCTCAAGATTCTATGCCTTCATCCCCATTTATTTATCTTTTGGTAAACCAAACTCATTTTTATTCTTTTGCAAAAAAACTAAATTTTTGTTGTTTTGTTTGTGCCATCCTGGATTATTAGAATTTACTTTGTATCCTGTAATTCGGAATGTGTCCCATGAATTTGAATCTAATTGTACCCATCATTTTAGTTCCACACCGTTCTGATTTTTGAAATTGATTTTTATTTTCTGCCTTCTATCTTTTTTCTTTCTTAAATAGAAAAGAAAAGCCCCTCTCCCAACTTCTGGCAATGCTGCCTGAATTTGCCTTCATGGTTCTTTCCCAGTTTCTGGCTTGTTACAGTTCTTTAGACACTCCCTCCACCAGCCTTTTACTTGTAAAAGTAAAGTAAGTGAATTTCTTACTTGCCTTCTATGGTTTGGGTCTGGAATGTTCAGCAGCTCATTCCCTTCTATCTTCAAAAAAAATTTACAAAGTAAACTCTGCTAACCAGGAGGCACAAACAACACAACAAAAATTTAGTTATTTGCAAAAGAATAAAAATGAGTTTGGTTTACCAAAAGATAAACCTACTGGCCATCAGTAGGACCCATCGGATGAAGACATGCATAGGGCTGAGGGCATTGGATGCCGAGTACCTTCCCAGCTCCGCTCAGCATCAAGTAGGGTGATCTGTCTGGAGGTGGGGTCTTCTGTGTCTACAGCTCTCACAACTATGAAAAAGCAGACTGATTAGAATAAAACATAAGGAGCTGGGTTGTGGCTCAGCGGTGGAGTGCTCGCCTAGCACGTGTGAGGCACTGGGTTCGATCCTCATCACCACAAAAAAATAAAATAAAGATATTGTACTCACCTAAAACTAAAAAAAATTAATAAATAAAACATAAATAGCCAGCTATAAGCTACAGACCTGCATGCACACTGGTAAGGGTTCTTCCTATCTTTGTTCTACTGCTTTGAAGAAGTTATACCTCCCAGGATGCTAGATGTGATCGTTGGTTCCCTCTCCTCTGACCACCGTTTTCTTGGGCTTGCAGTAACTGAATGGATACAGCAAGACAAACAGAAGGAAACAGTATTCCTGACCACTTAAAAAAGCAGTTCAGACAAAAAGTTGATCTCATACAAGTAGAAAGGTGGTTACCAGAGGCTGGGGAGAGGTTGGCCAAGGGGGACTAAGTCATGGTCAGACAGGAGCAAGAAGCTCTGCTGCGCCATGCATAGTAGGGTGGCCACAGATAACAATGATGTATAATGTCCATTTCAAAAAGCTAGACGAAAGGAGTTTGACTGTTTTCCCCACAAAGAAATGATAAATGATAAATGTTTGAGGAGACAGAGATTCTTACCCTGACTTGCATCTATTGAACATCACCTGGCAGCTCAGAAATAGGTACAACTTTTGTGTATCAGATAAAGTGAAAAAACGATTTTAAAAAAGATAGCATGGGATCAGTAGAGTTAGGACACTTATGGAAACTCCCCCAATTAAAATGATGCTGGGACCTTAACCTCAACCACTGGGAGGTCTCTTCCAGGTGAGGAGAATGGCCGGCTTCCACAACCTAAATTTTTGTTTCCCAAATTTACTTTCAACCTGGGGCTTGCTTCATTTGTTTACACTCAACAGACATTAATCTCAGCAAGCTTCTCTGTCACCTGGTGTCGATGTCCTTTCCTGTTCATTCCCACTGCTGAGACCAAGCCCTCTGAGAGCCACAGGGAAGACTCCAAGGACTAACCTATAGATACAACTCCGCAGCACAAAAACCACCACCTTGCTGGAACCCCAAAATCCAATGTCAGAACCTCAGTAGCACCCGTTCCTCAGGATGCAGAAGTGGGCATGGGTCTGTTTCCAGGTGGGCGTTAAAACTCCATCTCCCATGGCTTTATAGTTAGGGGATTCCTCCCAATTTCTGCCAATATGTTGGACATGTGCCACTTTTGTGGGGGACAGGGGTTTTCATCTGTCTTCACTGGAATTGGGAGCAGCTGCACCAGGGCCGCCCACCACACACACAGCCTTACAGTGGAGTCAGTGAAGTATCTCCCAGCTCCGTCTCACGCGGCTCTCCGACAGCTCACTCCCTTCTACCTTCAACATGGTTTTTGTCATTATTGTCATTTTGTTTTCCTTGTCACATCACCTTCTTTGGGTTCCCGTTCTGCCCTCAATTTATTTCTCTAACCAAACCCTGGGCACACTTCTTAAAGGGTCATTGCTCCCCAGGATTTTGTCCATCTCTTTATTTAACTTCCCATGTGAGAGCCCAGACTCCTGTGGCCTCAACAAGACCATGTGCCAATGACTCCTGACCCCATTCCCTCACATCCAGACCCTGAGTTACAGTGCTCTTGTGACAAATGGCTTTCTCCAGGCTTCCACCGGAAAGTCCCACAAGCACAGCACAAACTCACCTGCTCTCTAGTCCCTACCTCAGTGGCCACCACCAGTCACTCAAGCCAGAAGCCTGGCAGCCACCACACTCCCAACCTTCCTCACCTAGAGCACTCTGTCCACACGGCCTGGAATCCCACCCTGCTCCAGTATTTCCAAAAGCATCTCTCCTCTTTATCCCACACTCCCTACCTAGGGTCAGACCCTCAAACTGAATTGTCCCAGTTAGGCCACATTTACTGGCGTACAGCCTAGAAGGTGCTCTGAGATCTGGGGATATTAACTCCAGGAGATGGATTTGGTCTGGCTCTATGAAGGATCACTCATGGGGCTTTGATAAGCTTCCTGCATCTGTCTCACATGGTGGTTGGCTGGAAGCAAGGATTAAAATAGAACATACTTGGAATGCCTCTTGAGTAAACTGGAGGTCCACACAGTAGGTGGTCATGGAAGAGCAGTCTTTGCCAACAGTGGAGTTCAGGGGAGGAAGCAGAAAAGCCCTGGATTGGTTGAGCCCAGTGTGTGCCATGCCCTGTGGGGGGCGCTGTTCACATGCCTCCCTCCTTCCTCAGGCTCCATGCTGCTGCTGTTCAGGGAGCAGCAAGGGACAGACTTCCTTCCCTAGAACAGGGTTGAATGGAGTCTGGCTACCCTGGCCCTCCAACTCATTTCCATGTGCCTCTGTGTTCCTCCCTGGTCTACAGTGTTCCCAGACTGTCTGTTCTCTGCACTACATTATGCAAATCCCAGCCAGCCAGTATCCATAGAAACCAAATCTCCCATCTTCCCCAGCCTGCTCCCTGGCAAAGGAAACCCACCGGAGCAACACCCACAAACAAGGACAAACAACACCCCAGAGCAGGAAGGCTTCCCTTGCCATCAGACTCAGTCCTTACTGACCTGTCTTCCCACCCTCTGGTTACTGTTGGAAGGAGAAAGTGGGACAGGCCGGGGCACAAAGTTCTGTTCTTTCTGAAATCCTGAAGGGAATATTAATAAGCTCAGCTTCTCCCATCACTAACGATTGTCTTTGTCCAATCCACATCACTATCATTAAGATCACCTTCACTGGGCATGAGTCAGTATTTGACATCATCTTCATGCATACAGCTACATGAACCATTTTGGAACATGACAACACAATTTCATTGTGCATGATACAATGACTAATTTTATGATTTGTAAAGATCTGCTCCTCTCTAGAATCTTCTGCTATGCCCAAAACATTATGACTCTTTTTCTCCAGGCTCAAAACATGAGGCAAAGCCTCTGGTACCACACCCAGATTCTTGAAGACTGTAGGCAGCTGTCTTCTCTTCTTTGGGACACATAGCCCTTGCCAATGACACGGGTGGACCTGGGGAAAAACATGCAAGTGTCCAAGTTGCCCTGTTTACAGAAGTTCAATGCTCTACCAAAGCTTCGCAGCTATGTGAGGACCAGGGCCAGGTGTAACGATAGTGAACTCAGCTGTCAATATTTGTCCAACTTCCAGAGTTTTACACACGTGCTCCCTTAAAGTCTATAACCACCTTAAGAGACAGGAACTCTTAGGTCTTTTCCACATGATGACACCAAGAAGCAGAGGGGTTGTCTCCCCCCAGGGTCACAGTGGTGGTCAGTTTGAACTCTGGGCGTCCAACACCATATCCAGCCTTTTAGCCAATGGACACCTTTGGGAGGATAGAGATTTTTAAAAAACTACGTTGAAGTCTTAGGTTTAAGGTTTCCATTTAGCTTTTCTCCTCTTGGTTTTAGACACCAATTATAATGCAATATTTAAACAAAAACCAAAATCCACCAATTGAACTGAGTGCATGAAAACATCCCAGACAAACCTCCCCCTTGAGAAGGTAAAACTATTTTAATAACATGCTTGGAGTTTTCTCCTCATGCTGGGTTGCTTACAGATACAGTATGGGACAATCTGCATTTTAATTATAGTGTGCTGGGCAGGGAGGGGCAGAATACTCTTGTAGACTATGTGCCATACACAGAATCTCTCTGTAAAGATGAAAAACAGATAGGAGGGACTGCCTACTAGGAGAGCTGAATGTGCAGAGGTGTGAGATTGTTCTAGTACATTTTGTACCTTTGGGTTTATTGCCATGTAAACAGATTATCAAACATACACAAGCACACATGTACGTGCACACGCGCCACACACACACGCACACACACACACACACAAATTAAAGGCAAATTACTGCTTGCCTTTTTTTGTAAGTGCATTCCAGGTCTGTATGTTTAACTCTGAAACCTACTTTTCTTGGTTATTACAACTACTTTTCCATGTTATTGAAACTTTTTCACAAATGTTAAGTTGTATAGACATACTCTTGTCAAAAATCTGAAGGAAAGTAAGCATTCCCAACATAACTTCCACATCTCAGCTTCTCACTTTTCTTTGGGATTCATCGTGATTGTGAATCATAATTTCAACATGCAGAACGTCCCACTTGCTGAAGAATTAGCCAACAGTAATAAGCCTATACTAGGTTTAGGGTGGAATACTCGGCATTTTTCCAAAGTCTGCCTCACTGGATCCCTGAGAAGCCTGAGGCAGGTACTGTCACCCTCTTTCTACTTGCAGCAGATGTCCAAAAGCCTCAGGTAGTTTCTCCATCGCAGGGTTGGAATCTGGGTCCAGGATCCTGACCCTTGTTCCTTACCAAATGCTGCCAGTTGTTTTGTGGAGTAGTTGAGGACAGCTTGCCTGACCTGCAGGTCATACCTCTAAAAGGTTGCATGTTGATTAGTGACAGAGATATGTTCTGAGATGTGCACTCTTCAGCCACTTTGTCACTGTGAACACTGAGTGTGCTTACCAAACCTCAATGGCACAGCCTACTGCACATCTGGGCTGTGTGGTACAGCCCCCGCTCCAAGGCTGCAAACCTGTGTGCACGCTATTGCAGTGGCACTGCCGGCCACCGTGACACAGTACATATCTAAACACAGAGAAGGCACAGAAAGATGCTAATCAGAATTTTTCAGCCCCATTATTATCTTGCTCCTACTTTGTTTTTATGACCCATCATTGACATGATGCATCCACACAAGAACCACCTACTGTGGCCTGGGACATCCCTGGACCTAGGATAGCAAAGGTGATAATGATGTAGTCCCTACACTTAAGCAGAGAATATAGTCAGGTGCCTTCCAGCAGGAGGTGCAACACGCAATAGCAGCCCAGGAACCCTGGGCAGGATCTATAACAACAGAAGCAAAGTGGGCAGAAGCCTACTGGGGAGAGTTCTGTTAATATCTAAGGTATTGGGAACACTCCTGCCGGGCACCATCACTAACCATGGGGCTCACCAGACTGCCACTGTTTTGATAGTTAACCAACAACAATCCCATTCTGCCAAAACTTCACCCTTCAGAAGCAAGAAGGAAGAAAATGGCTATTACACACTGAGTTATGACCAAGTGATCACTGGTGCCAATGAGCAAGTTCAAGGAGCCAGAGGGGACTCTCCTGCTATTTGCCTTGGCACTCACAAGTCTGCTCCCCGGGCTCCCATCTAAAGGGCACACAATTAGGGGTTAGGGAAGATCTGCAGATGAGGACATAAGCCCAGGCAGGTAAGAAGTGTACCTGAGACATCAGCACACAGGTGGTGCAGCAAATATAACCAGAACAGTCCGAGTAACCAACAGCAGGTCACTATGATACAAATGGCCCTGTGAGTACCAGGCAGCGTGTGTGACAGCCTGGTGTGCCTGGAGCCATGTGAGATGGAGCCAGGACACCCAGTAGAACACAGTCCAGCCACAGTGAGCTCCGAAAGCTGCATTGCAGAAATGCACATGAGCAGGTCAGGAGTGGGGGCCACTCTGGGTGGCCACTGGAGACCAAAGGATGGTGCATCTGGTGGCAGCACATAGATGGATTCAAAAGGAGAATAAGACAGGCAGTGTACAGGGGGCTGCTGCCTCCAGGGTGGATGCCGGAATGAGGAGTAAGAGGTACAGGTGGGAGAGTATTCAAGGAAGACCCTTGGAGAGGGGCTCGCTGCCAACAGGATAGCCACCTTACCATGAGCATATCCAGAACCAAGGCCAGATGGTCTTAAGGGTAGTGTCAAAAGTAGGATTCCTAAGATCTGTAAGCAACCGAAAAAAAAAAAAAAAATACCAGACTGGACAATATCCAAATTAAAAAACTGGGGGTTTCAAAGGATGTCACCAAGAACGTGAATGGACACACCTAAAATGAAGAGGAAAGTTTATAAGTTCTATATCTGACAAAGGGACTAGTCTCTAGAATACATAGAGAACCCTTACAACTCAACAAAAAGACAACCCAGCTAAAAATGGGGAAAGGCTCTGAAGACAGTTCCCCCAAACAGATATACAAATGGCCAATAAGCACATGAAAAAGCTACTCGGTATCAGCATCAAGGAAATACAAATCAAAGCCAAAGCCATACCACTTCACCGTCACAGGAGGGCTAAGTCAGAACACAGATCACAGTGCTGACAAGGGTGCTGTGCACCCGGAATCTGCACACACTGCTGGTGGGAGTCAAAGGCTGCATCGGAAAGCAGCTTGGCGGTTCCTCAAAAGGTTAAGAAGAGTCACCATAAGACACAGCATGTCTATGCCTAGGTGGACACCAAAGAGAAAGAGAGACAGATCCACAGAAAAATCTGTACACAGATGTTCCCAGCAGCACTACTCAAAACCAACAAAACGTGGAAACAGGCCAAATACCCATCAATTGGCGAACAATAAAACACAGTACATCATTTCATACAACGGAATATTACAATAAGAATACATACTACAACATGGAAAAACTCTGGCTTACAAGAACACCGAAAGAAATAATGTCAAAAGAAAAAGCACATCATTTTTATTTCTTTGAAAAGGAGGCCTAGGCTATCCAAATTATCCTATATCTTAAAAAAAAAAACCTCGTAATAGCTTGGGTGAAAATAGTTTTAAACATTTATTCTAACCAACAAGTCAGGCTGATCATACAGAATCTGTACTTGACAGGTTAAACCCCAGCAGAGCACACACACTCACAACTGCTTGGGTCCCAAAGTGCATAGAGCTTTTTTTTTTTGGGGGGGGGGTGGGGGGTGGGCCTGAGAATCTGACACAAGTGAGCTCATTTGCCAACTGCCAAGCTGGCCCCAGTGGCATGTCACACCTGGTCCCTCCCCACTAGTTACATAACCAATGTGCACAACACACTTATAACCAGGACTCCTAATTGCTGTTTAGAACATCAGCTGTTATGAAGTGGGGAATCCAGGCTGGAACGTGCCCCTAACTATAACACGGTACCCACGGGACAGTATCTCCTTCCATGTTGCCAGTTCCCAGGACACAGTGAGCTGGAAATTAGAAAGCATTTGCAGGCATGAGAAAGGAAAGGTGGAGGTTTACAGTGGAGAGGAGAAACAGGAATGAAACCCAACAGGGAGCAAGCCAGCTGAGGTCAGTGACACGCAGCAGTGAGGACGAGGGACACTGCCTTCCTTCCCACTGCACAGCACCTGTCTTCCGAACGGCCTCCCTTGGATCACACCCTTCCTTTCTTCCTAACTGGAGAGGGCACCTCTTCCCTTCCCTTCTCATACTTTCACCAGAGGAACTCACCCCACAGAATTATAGAAGGACATGGTCTTCTAGTCCCACTGTCTATTGTACAGATGAGGAAAGTGAGGCCCAGCGAGGGAACAGGTGCACAGCATGATTTTAAGTTTGTTAAGTGCTCAGGAGCTCTTGGTTCAGAGGAGATTAGCTCTAGATGTACAACCAGATAAACTGGAGTTGAAGGATAGGGATGGGCAGCTTTGCCTCCTACCTTACAGGACCCCCAGGAAGATCTGTGCAAGTTTTAAATTAGTAACATAAAGCAGTAGCTAAGCTGAGCCCTGCACTGTTTGCTTATTTGCTGAATTCCTGATGTTCCGGTACTGGAGTGACTGCAGCTCCTAAGCTAGCCAATCCCTAGACAGCCAACGGGCCTGAAGGCTGCCTGTCCCGTGAGTCCAGCCAACCTAGACCATGGAATCTCACCACTTCCTGTAGCAGGCTCTCTGCCAAGTCAACATCTCCTGTCCTAATCATCCTAAGGCAGGTGCAAGAAACCAGGAGCTGTCCTCACACGCCAGAACCCACCCACTGCAACTACTCAAGACTGGTGAGCGTCCACCTGGTCTATGCTGCCCCACCCATTCCTTCCCAGGAAAACCACAACACAGGCTTTGCCAGCACCTTCCCCTCTTTCCCTTTGCATCTTGACTGACCCTAGTGCTTTCCTGTGTGGCTCCATGTGGCATGGCTGGGAAATGAGTGACAGACTCTTTCCAACAGCAGTCATCTCCTGATTAGTTGGTTTAACCATACCTGGAAAATAATAAAACCTACATTTTAAAACAGGCCTGTTCTAGAAGTAAACATTTTCTCCAGAAATTCTCAAATGAGGACTTAAAAATTCACACCCTGGGTAGAGCCTGGACCCAGTGAGGTACTTCCTGGATGGCTTTTAACTGAGCAGAGAAGGGACCAAAAATAAAGACGAGGCATAGGGCCTAGAGTCACAGAAAAAGGCAAGACGGAATGGCAGAGGATGCTGGCACCTCAAAAGGTAGTGGGCAGAGGTGCTGAGGCCGGGGGTGGGCTTCAGGAAGAGGCAGGAATCAAGCAAGCCCACGGCACAGCATCCAGCAGGCCTGGGCCAGTTCAGATGTCCAGCTCTTCCTTTATAGTGATGCGCAAGGGGCAGATGCTCAAGGGCTCAGGGGGCCCATCACCCCGCGCACCCCCAAGGTAAAAGTAGGGCCGCACCTCCCCGAAGCGTGCATGGAAGGTGTATAGGTGGCAGTTATGTTCAGCATCATAGAAGGACAGCTCGCCCTCTTCGCACTCCAGCTCCACACGTAGGCGGCGCGGGATGGCCAGGACCAGGGGCGAGGTGGCCGGGTCCGAGGTCACACAGTGGTCCCCCTCCACACCCTGCGTGCGGCACACGTACCAGAAGCCAGAGCGTGTGTCATGGTAGCAGCTGTGTGAGTGGCCTTCTGCACCTGTATCTGGCTGCACCCGCACCACACCCACCCGCCAGCTCTGCAGGTCACCCAGGGCCACCTCCCAAGCATGGGAGCCCTGAGAGAAGGTGCAGGAGCCCAGCAGGCAGGGTGCTGAGGAGAAGCGCTCTGGGTTTTCCACCTGCACGCGGTAGCCATGGTTGGTGACGCTGGTGAGGTCATCAGACACCGAGAGCCAGCCTGCTGCAGTGTTGGGATCGAAGCTGAAGGGCACTGAGGGCAGAAGGGGGGCAGTCAGCAAACCTGATCCTCTCCCACCTGCCACACCAGGTGGTGTCCCCAGGGCCCCAAAATGACCACCTCAGTTCTAGTTGCCCTGGGTTGATGGGAATCATGGGTTCAAATGTATCCGCCAAAAGGTATGTGGAAATCCTAGCCCCCACCCAGTGGCCCAGAATGTGCCTTTATTTGGAAATGGGCGTTACTATAAATACAGTTAAGACGAAGTCAGACTGGAGCAGGGTGGAACTTGAACCCACCTTGACTGTGCCCTTATAAAAAGGGGAATGGAGACAACACATGAGGGGAAAAGCCATGTGGCAGAGGGTGAGGTGCTGCAGCTACAGGCCAAGGGCAGCCAGGCCTGCCAGCCAACACCAGAAGGTAGAAGAGACACAGAGGGTCCCTGCCTCAGGTTTCAGAGGACCACAGCCCTGCTGTCACCTGAGCATGAGCATCTAGCCTTCACAACCACGAGAGAATGGGTTTCTGTCATTTAAGGCACCCTGTGTGTGGTCCTTTGGTGACCTTGGACGGAGAAGGCCTTTCATTATACACGTTACAGTTCTGAATAGAGGAAGTATTTCTCTTTCTGAAGAGGACAGAGGGTCAGGGCGTATATAGGAAGGTGGTCTGCCAGGAGGGGCTGCAGCCATCAGGCAGGAGGGAGATGACCAGGGTCAAGGGCCTGCTGGGAGGCCAGTGGAGAGAATGGGCAGAGCCTGGCAGAGTGGAGCTTGGCAGCTCTGAGCTAGCATGAAGTACTTTCCCTGGGCGCGAACACCTCCCTGCACCCCTTTACCAGATTTGATGGAACTGATCATCTTCTTCCACACGCGGTACTGCAGGGAGTCCAGGTACCGGCAGGGGTTGATGAGCATGCCGGGCTGGATGGGCTCCGGCTCCACGGTGCAGAAGAGCCTGTGGAAGGAGGACTGGGCATGGTGGGTGCAGTTGGGGCAAAGCACCTGGGCTGATCTGGGTTCACTGGAAATGGGCAACAGGCCTTGCTCCCTTGCCTCAGGCCTAGGTTTCCTGGTCGCCTTCCCCAAGACAAACCTGGATTGGTCCAGGAACCGACTGAGCTGCCACACCCTTCAGGATTCAGTAGGAGGGCTCATCCCGCCCCAGCTGGGAGAGATAGAAATAGGAGGTTCTCCAACACGGCTGCCATCCTTGTGGACAGAAATCACACTTACACATCTGCTTATGGGATGTGTAACAAATTGGAAGGGACCTTAACAGTGCTCTACTCCAACAAAACCAAGAGGTCTCAGTCCTTTGCTTGAGCACCTCTAATGACAGGGAACTCACTACTTCCCCTACTTCCCAAAGCCCTCTCTTTTATCTTTGGACAGCTCAGACAGGGACATAGTTCTTAATTATTCATCCCAGAGAACCCAAAGCCATCAAGGCACACGAGTGTGCAGGCCAAGGGCCTGTCCTGAAGCTCTCAGAGGGAGGAGGCTGGTCAAGAAAGATGTCTAAATGTTAGAAGGCCACTGAGAAGCATGAGTCGATGCATGCTGCTCTCCCTCCCCTCACAGTGGCTGGAGACCCTCCATGCCAGCCAGAATCGAAGAGCCTCAAAGAAAAGTCTCTCCATCTGGCAGTCCCCACCACTCCCTGTGGATCCCATCAGCTGGCTGCGTTACCTGCCTGGCCCTGAAGCCACTGGATTTTGCACCTTTGGTGTTTCTGCCTGCTCTTCCCCTCCCCTCCACCAGACTTGGCAACTTACCGGCGCTTTCGGCTCTTGTGTTTCTGAAAGACACAGACACAGACACAGAGAAAGCATAGTAAGTTTCTGACCTCAAGAGGAGCCATGCACCCCATGTTCATGGATCAGAAGACTTAATATTGTTAAGACATCCATTCTCCTCAAGCTGATCTAGGTATTCAGCAGAATTCCTTTCAAAATCCCAGGTACTTTCTTTGTAGAAACTGATTCTAAATTTCATATGGAAATTCAAGGAACCCCAAAGAGCCAAATAATCTTTAAAAAGAAGAGTAAAGTTGGAGGACTCACACTCCCCAATTTCACAGCTTATTATAGAGCAACAGTAGTCAAGACAGTGCAGGACTAACATGTGGGCAGACGGGGAGATCAATGGAAGGAACAGAACTGAAAGTCCAGAAGTAAACCCTCACATTCACTGTCAGCCAATTATCTATGAGGGCAGCAAAATCATTTAAGAGAGGAATGGTCTTTCCAACAAATTGTAAAAATTGTTAAAGTACACAATAACATGTCAAAGAATAAAGGTGGACCCTAACTTTATGCCATATTAAAAAAAATGACATAAAATACATCAAAAGCCTAAATATAGGCTGAGAAAGAACTTGTGCCTAGAACACAAAGAATTTTTACAACTGACAAAGAAACAACCTAATTAAAAAATGGATAAAAAAGTAGAATTGATACTTCTCCAAAGAAGATCTACAAATGACCAATAAGCACATGAAAAGATGCTAAATATCGTTAGCCATCATGAAATGCAAATCAAAATAATGAGATACCACTTCAAACTCAATGGGATGGCTACTTATAAAATATATATATAAAGAGTTGGCAAGGATGTAGAGAAAGTAGAATCATTATTCACCGCTGATGGGAATATAAAACAGTGCACTTGCCTTGCAAAAGAATCTGGCAGTTCTTCAAAGGGTCAGAGTTACCAAAGAAGCTAGCAACATCCAAGAGAAATGAAAACATGTGCATATAACTGGTACATTAGCTGGGTGTGGTGGCGTGTGCCTGTCATCCCAGTGACTTGGGAGGCTGAGACAGGATCACAAGTTCAAGGCCAGCCTCAGCAACTTAGACCTCAAGCAAGTCAGCCAGACTCTGTCTCAAGATTGAAAAAAAAAAAAAAAAAAAAACAAGCACTAGGGATGTAGCTCAGTGGTAAAAGCACCCTGGGTTCCACCCCCAGTACAAAACAAACCAAAACCCTGGTATATGAATGTTTATAGCCCATAGCCCCATTACCTACAAGAGCAAAAAGTAGAAACAACCCAAATAATCACAAATTGATGAACAAATAAAATGTAATATACAATGGAATAGTATCATTCGACCATAACAAGGAAAGAACTATTAGATGCTAAGACATGGATGAAGTTTCAAAATATGCTGCGTGAAAGAAACCAGTCACAAAAGATACATATTATATGACTCCATTTATGTGAAATGTGTAGAATAGGCAAATTAGGTAGACAAGAGAGATTGGTGGCTGAAAGGCACCAGGACAGGAGGGATAGGAGAGTGAGTGCTAAAGGATTTGGAGCTTCTTTTTGGGTGGATGAAATGATCTGAAATACAGACTGTCATGATGGTTGCACAATTGTACAGGGCTGAAATCAATGAACTGTATGTTTTAAATAAGTGACAAGCTGGGTGTAGTGGTGTGGGGCTGTAGTTCCAATTATTCGGGAAGCAAGAAGATCACTCGAGCCCAGCAATTTGAAGCCAGCCAAAGCAAGAGTGAGATCCTATCTTTTAAAAAGCTAAATAACAACAACAAAAATGGGTGATTTACACAGTGCAGTATGTAAATTGTATCTCAATAAAGCTGTTATTTAGAAAAACAAAATCACAAACCAAAATCATTGGCAGGATGAAGATTTCCTTAGCAGAATCTTCAAGGAAAGAACCAATTTAAATCCATTGAGTGATTCTATAATCAGGGCCCTCTGATGAAAAGGCATATCATGGCTTGACATGAGATGGTCAACCCACAAAGGTCCTCCCCAGGATGGGACACACTGCTGGAACACAGTATTTGCCACCCACCCCCACCCGCCATTCCAGAAGGTGAGCTGTCGGTGGTGAAGAGGATAGCGTGTCCTCCTGATCATCCTGATTTACAAACCAGCCTTCAAGTTACAGAAACTTCTCTGCGGGGCCCAACGATGCAATCAACCAAAGTGAGAAAAAAATAAACTCAACGGCATTTGTTTTTTTAAGTGAGAATGGAATCATTCTTAAGAGAGAACAAGCCATATTTAAATATTAAAAAAATCTGATTTTGAAAGACCCCGTTTACTAGGGGTAGAGAGAGAAGAAACCAAGGATGGCACAAAAGCAAAGAGAACAGGGGGAGCGAGAGAGAGGGAGGGCAGGGGAGAGAAGAGGCTGGAAACGCCACCCCGTCACGCCTGTGGCCTCTGATTAGCAGCACACCGATGACATCCCTCAGGACCAAAGCCAGGAGGCCACAGGAAGACTGGCATGGCGGGGCTGGTGACCATGGTTCTCTGGTCCCTGAACATCCGTCCCCATCACAGAACGCAGCGGCCGCGCTCCTCACCATGAGAAAAGAGATGTCGTCTTCCTTCAGTTCCATCTGCAGCCGCTCAATCTCGTGGGCCAGCACCTCCGTCTCTTCTGTGAGTTGCTTCATCTTCTCATCAGCCAGGAGCTGCTTCTGCCTGGTCTCCTGGGCCACAGCGTCCAGAACAGCCTGCTCCTCCACCCTCAGGAACTCACGGAGCTTGTCGAACTCCTGCCGGATGCGGCCTTCCAGCCACGCAGCCTCCACCTGCAGCAGAGAGCAGAGTCAGTGACTCAGACCTGGGGAGCCTCTGCTGTCCCCAAGCTGGTGACCTTCAGACTTTCAGAAAGAATCCTATGTAGAACCCTAGAGATGAAGCATCGACGCAAGACTTGACTAGCACAAATTTATAAGTTTAAATTTCAAATGGGAGGGCATAGAAGCTGTTTTGATAATTTTTTAGAAATCACTGGTCAAGCACGGTGGTGCACGCCTGCAATCCCAGTGATTTGGAACACTGAGGCAGGAGGGTTTCAAGTTCAAGACCAGCCTCAGCAACTCAGCAAGGCCCTAAGCAGCTTAGTGAGACCCTCTTTAAAAAAAAAAAAAAAAGAAATCACTGCTTATTGATGATAACCCTAGTCCTGTAACCTCCTCACACACAACAGTCTGTATCTCATTTGGGTTCTCAATAGCATGGAAAACCCTGTGTGACAGAAGTGAATTATTTCAAATAGCAACAATTTTTAAAACTTGTTTGCCTTCAAATCTTTTGCCCTTAAATATGTCTGATCCAGAGGGTTTACTAAAACAGTGGGAAATATTTAACACTCAACCATAAAAATGTGGACATTCTAAATCATAATCACAAAAAATATTAAGAAAATGAGACCCAAACCATGCAAATACTCAGAGAAAAAGCAAAGAAATACTTCTTGCCTGAGAATAAGAAAGAAATTGCTTAGCATAATATGAAACAAAAAAGACTCAAACAATGAGATACATGAATGTACATAAAAGATAAGCTTTAAATGGCAAGACCTTATAAGCAGGGTTAAATACAAGCATGTAATTCCAAAATGATTACTGTATAAATGACCCCCCCCCAAAAAAAAAAACCCTGAAAATAATTCATTGAAAAAGAAATGACAAACTGGGAAAAATGTTTGCAATGTATTCAACAAACTAGTATTAGTCTTAATATACAAAGCACTCCAAAAATCCAATGGGAGAAAAGACAAATATTCCAAGAACAAAAAAAGGACATGAATTGGCATTCACATCATTCACAGAAGAAATCCATACTGTGAAAAGATGGGCAAACGAGAACAGACCTCCTAGGAAGAATGGAATCTACTGATTCTTCTCACACAGGACAAGGAAGGATGGAGCAAAGAGGAAAACTCTGCAAGAGCTGAGGCAACTCCAGCCACTGTCACACTGGCAGGGACAGCCTCATGGTAAAGGGGTAAACGACAGAATGTATACTCAGTGACTTGGATTCAGAGAATTTACAGGAAAAGCACCCATCCAGCTAGAACTCTGGAGGCCTCAACCTGACCACCTTAAGAACCCTGGCCTCCACAAGAAGCCTAAGAGCTCTCTGCTGCCTGGCATGGAGAGATGGATGCACCCCCACTTCCCCCCAGTCCAGCCCCACACCCACAAATCTAGGTATTCTGATCATGGAAATGTACAGGGAAGCATTCCCCTGGTGAGCAAACTCCTGGGGGGTAACAGGCACCTTGTTTCCCACCTTTAGAATGCCCTGCAATCTCTCTTAAATATAGCTAACATATATGCAATGTCTAGCTGGTATGGCAACGCCCTGAGAAGCCTCTGTGTTAGAGGCTCATCAAACCTCGACCTTGATTGCAGGCACATAGTTCCTTGGAATAAATTATTTGCTAGATAACTACAATGTTTCACCAAGCTCTGCTGCTCCTGGAGCTGCCCGCCTAACAGTAACTTCAGACAATGGACTTTCTTGAGAACTGCACAAAGCTCCTACATTGCATACTATAACTGTAAAATTTAACTGCAGAATAAGCAACCTTACTGATACTCTAAACAATAATGTAGTTATGGTACTGATGACCAAACGTAACCTATTGGTATAAATAAATGTGGCCACTTGGACACCTTCCCTGCCTCTGCACCTCGTCTCTGTGTCTCCCTTTATTATTTGTTTACACACAAAGCCAGCCAAACAGCTTTGGCCATGACGACATGGGTTACAGGGCAGAAATGAAGCCTGATGACTCCATGACAGCACCAGAAGAACACCACAAACGGTGTCCTCCAGAAACGGCAGGCTGCAATCTCATTTGTGGACTGGAATCTCGGTCTGTACTCATGGCTCTGACCTAAGATGATCAAATGGTGTCACTCTGTCAACTCAGCTTCTTGGTCTCCAAAACATCACAAACGTTGAATGGCCTCTCTCTGTGGGCACTCAGATGCATTTCCTTATCTCAAAGTTTCACAAAAATCCTAGGAAGAGGGAATTTCTTTCTACAGGTGAGTGCATGAGTTTGGTGGGGGCTGAGGGATCTGCATGTAGACACAGGGTTGGATTTCCAAGGTCAGCCTGCAGCTTACTGCCCTGGCCTCTGTATTTCACAGCCCTGACTCCTGCTCTGCTCCTCCAGCTTCAGACAGGCTGGTTTCTGACTGTCTCGCTGCCCCTGGCTCTGGTCTCTCACCTTCTGAGAGATGACTGCTTCTAGTAATTACCACCAAGCTGCACTCATCTGAGCCACAGCTGACACACCTGGTTCGGGCTGCTGGGCACTCCCCTGAAGTCCCTACAGTGCCTGAGTGGCCAAGGACTGGGCTCAGGGAAGCCTCCTAACATCTAGCTATGGAACCAGCCACAAGCTCATTACTGGCCCCCTACAGGTGCCCAGAACTTCCAGACATTGGGAATGTGCTCACTTTCCTTGTATTTTGATGACAGGGGACAAACTAGAAAACAACAAGATAATGAAGTGTCTTGAAGAAAATGAGGGAGACCTGAAGCAGGGTAAAAGGGAAGGGCTAGTCTGGGTAGCAGCAGGGAAAGCTTCCCAAGGGACGTGTAAGCTGAAATTTTAAAGGCATCTTTGACTATAGGGCCAGGGGAACAGCTTTAGCTCATTTAAGGGACAGAGAAGGCCACAGAAGTGGCAGAAGCACAGAGCACCAAGCCACAGAACAGCAGATGAACTTGGGGCAGGCAAGGGGCAGACGATAGCCTTGGCCGTGGGAAGGAGTCTGGACCGCAGTCTGGGGCACAGAACTACACTAGTGATTTTAAGCAGAGGAATGGCACAGCGATGTGCTTTTCCAAAAGACCACTGGAGTGCTCAGAGAGTGGAAAGAACAGAACAAAGAACAGAAAACCAAGAACAGAAGCAGGGAGCAGGCCAGGAAGGAGGCGCAGCAATGCAGGTGGAGTTCTATGGACATGTGTGGTTCAGAGACAGGGAACAGGGCTGTGGTGGAGTGGACACGGGCACTGAAAGGACACCAGGAATCACAGGAGCCCAGTCGGCGGGGGCCTGCACGGAGTGAATGGCGAAATGCAGCACACAGTGAGGTTATTCTTAAATGACAGTGCAATGGCACGGGTGGCTTCTTAGGCCATGCCTGTGCTGCTGGCGTGCCATGCCCAGGTCTTCAGTGAGGCAGTGTAGCCCAGTCAGCAGCTGAGAGCAAGGCTGTATGAGACTTCCAAGTCCACAGCTAGCCCATGGGCGGCATCAACAGAGCCAAGGCCAACCCTCCCCTGCTTCTCCCTGGCTGCACGCTGGGTCCAAGCACTCACCTGATTGTGCTTGGCGATGGCCTCGTAGGAGCGTCGCATGGCCCAGAAGGCCTTGGCTTTCTCCCGCAGTGTGTACTCCATGTTTCTACACTTGGCCTGATGTGGGGAATGAGAAGGAGGCAGGGAGGCAAGTTAGGACTGGAGGCCAGACAGGGAGGACAAACACGACATTTATAACTGGAATTCCACTTTGACAAGACCATGAAAACAGCATTTACTGAACCTGGTCCATGCCAAGCCCCTGGGGCACAGCTGAATGTTAGTCCTGATCTCAAATCATTTCTTTATAATGCTAAGGGCCTTCAGAAGTCCTGTAGCCCAGCTCCCTTGTCCTATGCCTGGTACAGGGAACAGGGCTGAGGAGGTAGAGGGGCCTGTTGTCTCTCAAGCTGGCCATAATACAGCACAGAAGGGCATCCTGCTCAGCCTGGGACTGGTCCAGGCTGAGCTCTGAGTCCCTGAGCTGTGGGGATAAGACAGGCGGAGGGACCACAGTCTCCCTTTGAAATTTTCCAGACTGTACTGGTCTGAAGTCACTAACCTTAGGGGGTCTGACCCCCTCATTTCCCATCAAATGAAGTTATTTCCCCTAAGGCCTTCTCTAAACACTCCCTCCAGACCCCTCCTTCTCCTGACATTCTCATATTGCTTAGATCATGTGACAGACTTTAATTGTCAAATTCAAATATTTATCTCTTCAGTAGTTTTTGTTTTTTAAATTTTAATTATTGCTTCTGAACTTTCTGGACTCCCTGAAGAACACTGTGAATTTTAGGTTGGATTCCTACATTTTCATCTACATTGTGAGAAACCTTTACATAAATTTTCTTTTGGAAAAATAGTAAATATTCTAATAATAATAATCTAATATTACTAATATGAGATTAATTCTAATAAAAATAATAATGATTCTAATAATAGTACTGGTAAATTACCATCAACATTTATGGAGCATCTACATGTAGCAGGGACAGTGCTAATGACTTAATACCAGTTTCCTACCTGATAAGAGGGATATCACTATGGAGCTCATGGGTTGACAAATCAGTGCATGTCAAGGGCTGAGAAGCAGGCAGGCACACAGTATGTGCTGCAAGGTCTAGCTCTTAGTACCAATAAGTAACACTTGTGAGCCAAGAAATTTAATTCTCTTACCAGATGTTCCAGGTTTCTTAATGTACAGCATAAATGCTAAGATAACCTCATCTAGATCTCATCCTTATCCAACTCCAATTTGTTTTCCAGATCTTTCTTCCCCCTTGATATGCAGACTCATCACAAAATAGGTGTTTACCATGGTGCCTACTGCTGGGACCTCTTCACTCAGGAGCCACAGTGGGCAATTGAGACTCCCTCTCTGCCGGGGGCGCAGGCTTAACAAGGAGGCAATGACCATCCTCTATTGCAACAAGGGATCTGCCAGGCTTGAATTGAAAGCTGAGGACCCAGAAAGTAGTGAATAGTTAGGAAAGGGTAGAAAGAACTAGAAGGGGAATGTCTTAGTCCATTTTCTGTTTGCAGTAATACAACAGCATAGGACAAGCTATTAGGAAACAGGCTGATTCTGGCTCAGAGTTCTGAGCTGAGACTTAGGGCCATGTCTGGTGATAGTCTTCCAGAATAGCTGAGTTCCAGTATGGGTGAGGGCATCACACAGTGGGAAACAGGAAGTGCATGTGAATCCTGTTTCTTCCTTTCTCATAAAGCCACCAGGATGGTGGGGGCTCTGACACTCCTATCTAATCCTACTCAAAGGCTCCACCTCTAAACACCAGTCACATTAAGTTTCTACCCTCTTAATACCTTGCAATGGGGATTAAATGTCAACCTGAATTTTTGGAGAGGAGAACCACATGCAAACCATGGTGGGGAGACCCCTGAATGTGGCTAAGAGTAACTGGAATCCCTCGGTTGACACTTCTCAGGCTGATTCTGAGAAGGTAGCCCCAGGCAGGGGACCAAGGCTTCGGACCGACATCAAAGTCCAGAGGCATGTATAAGAAAGGGGTCCAGACAAGGCAGTTAGAGGCCTGGGCCTCGGAGAGAGTTTGGAGTGGGTCTGGTATTAAAAACACTAAACTTGAGTTCTGACCCCAGAATTTTACCATGTTTACCCCAAAGCTGCAAAAAGTGCATGAATTTTCCCAAGTTTCCATTTTCTCATTAGTAAATGTAACTATCTTCACAGTCCCCTGGAAGGGTCTGTGTCTGAGTATTTTGTGGATTTGCAAGTAGTCTAAGAGAATTCTGAGTTAGTGTTTTCGCTGAATGATGAACAAAACAAAACCCACCAAGATAAGCCCATCTTGAGTTACCTCATACACAGTGTGACACATGCTCTTGGTTCCTACAACATCAGCACCAGCATGTGTAAATGGCACTAGTCTGTATGAGTGTCATGGTCTTGGCCTAACGAGGGAAGAGCAGTACATTCAGCAGGTAGAGAGTGTATGGGTGCTGTAAGCTGGCCAACCATGTGCCATGTGCATCACCTGAGTTTGAGTTTCTGAGTTCTTCAAACAGGGAAGCTTTTGACTCCTGAATCAAGCCAGCACTTGGAACACAGTAAAGAGAATCAATCAAAAGGATCTCTGCCAAGAGTAAAGATTTAGTTTCAGCAAAATAAAATCTTATAATTAATATTTTAACTGGAATTGTATAGATCCTAATTTTGCTTGGACTTAATCTGGCAACTTCCTTTGGTTTATTGCATATCTGTGATATAGGCAAGAGCAATTTATATGTTTTGTGCTTGTGTGTACCTACATGGTAACATATTTAAGCCACACTGTTGGAACACTTTTTCCTTTAAGAAGAGCAGGCACGTTGTTCAGGTTTGAGAAACACTGCGCTCCAGGACTTCCTAAGGTCCCCCAAGCACTTGTATTCTTTCCAGAGCTCTGTTTAAACATTTCCATTATATTCCAAAATTTCCTAAGTCCTTCTGGTCATATCTCACACCAGGCAAACTCTTTAACATGTCCTTGGATGCCCTGTGGGATCTGTCCCAAACTTCTTCATTCCTCATGTAGAATGTCCTTCGGTCACTGCAGGCCCCACCCAATGCCCCCACTACTGCTACTGGCCTTCCCTTACTCCTCTGGGCCTTCAGGTCTTGTGAAATCAGATCTTCAGAGGTTCCTTCCCATGACTCAACAGACGAGAAAAGCAGGCCTTCCTCTTAGAATGTCCCATCCTTCACTGAAACTTCAATTATTAGTGAGAGTATTCAACTGTGCCTGTCAACTTCATCCAGGCAGGGTCTCTAGGACTGGACTGTATTCTGCTGGACACACTGTGCCCAGCACATTGCAGGTGTTCAACCTATCTGCTCTCCGCACATTGACAATGATCAACAGCCACCCAGATGCCTGCTTATCCAAACACAGTTGGCTGCCCACAGCTCTGGGATCAGAGCACCAGCAGCACTGAGAGAAGGCTCTCTCAAAGCCCATGACCAGAGCAGGGACCAAACTAGGCCCAGGGGAAGTCTAGCTACTAGCTCTGTGACTTTGGCAGTTACTTAAACTGAGACTGTCTTTATACTGTACCTCATTACACTGTAAGGTAGGGATAACGCTACTACCTACAGCAAGCTGAAATGCTCCACAATCCTGCAAAGCCCAAGTTCTAATCACTACAACCATGAATGTTACGGCAAAAGGGATTCTGCAGATGACGGAATTAAGGATCTTGATACGGGGAGATTTCTTTGGATCATCTGAGTGGGTCCACTGTAATCACGAGGGCCTTATGAGAGAGGTGGTAGTCAGCCAAGGAAGGTAATAAGATAACTGAAGCAGAAGTCAGAGTCATGCTCCCTAAAGATGGAGAAGACAAGGAAACATGTTCTCCCCTGAAACCTCCATAAGGAATGCAGCTGTGCAGACAGCTTGAATTTGGGCCTTCTGACCTCTAGAACTACAATCAACTTATGCTGTTTTAAACCACTGTGTTCGTGCCAGTTTACTGTGTCAATGATAGAAAACTAACACACCCAGCCTTGTTGAACGTTTGTGAGCATTACATTTGCTAACATGCACATGCTTAAGAGAATCTAACATATAGCAAGTACTCAACAAGTATCCACCCTCATGATTTTTAGTTTTGCTTCATCCTTAGATGGTGGCCAAAGTGAACTTTTTTCTAAAACATACTATCTCATCACAACCCCCACCCCCCCCCACCCCCCAGTCTGAGAATCCCACAGGGCTCCCCACAGCCAGCAGGGCTTTTGACCTAGCTCCTTCTCACATGGCAGTGGAATGGGAGGGGGGATCCCATACTGCTCCCCCCAGAACCACCACGTATGTCCAACCATGCAGAACCATGTCTTGTCTACTAACTCCTGACTTCCCCCTCTAAAACATGAACTTCATAAGATAAGGGGCTATCTCTGGGACCTGAGCACCCAGAACAGGTTCTGGCACACAGGAGGCCCTCAGCTCACGTTTGTCTGGTAAATGAATGAGTCGCATCCTGAGTCAGGTGGCCAGGCTCTGCTTGCACTGTCCTCAGCTGCCCTGGACTAGACCATTCCCTGCCTCTCAGGCATCACCCTGAGGGCCCACTGGCCTGACACAAGGCTCCATCTGCATCTCCATCCCGTTGTAACCACTGAAATTCTCTAGGTGCCTGGAAAGTCAGGTTTCCCCACTTCCAGACCCTTCCAGACACTACTGTCTCTGCCACATACCTTCCCTCACTCCTTCCCCTGGCTAATAGCTCCACAGCTATTGGAACTCTCCGCGTTAAGATGCTAAAAGAATGATAGAGAATCAACCAGTGGGCCTGAGCCAAGGGCCTCTCCCCGCAGTTACACAAACTTTGGGATCAGCTGAGGACGGTGACTGAGCTGCGGAAACCTTAAGGCTCTACATCCCTTGCCAGGTCCTGGGCTCCTCTCCCACTTCTAAACTGAGGGTTCGTGGGCGTTACCCACACTGGTGCAGCTCAGAGGGACCTGGCCACCGCCGCTCAGAAAGGGGCGGGGCTGTCTGGAGAAGGTCGCTGACCCTGTCTCCCACTTCCTGTTTGCACTCTCTGACCCATCCTGGGCCGGCCTTGAAGAAGGCAGACCCAACAGATAACCACATTCGCGGTGGGGGTCTTGAGGAAGCCCCGGAGCTGGAGCGGGGAGCCCGGGAGGCCTGAGCACGCGCAGCGCTAGCAGGCTGGAGGGCGGAGCCCGGGTGCAGGGATGCGGTCCAGCCCCGGCCACTACGAGTGCGCTGGATCACTGGGCGCTCACCGCCACTCTTACCCGAAAGTCGTGGGCAGTGTCCTTCACTGGCTGCATGCGATGTCCCCGGTGGCGGGGGTCGGCCTGGCATGAGCAGCAGAGCAGCTCCTTGTCCTCGAGGCAGAAGAGACTCAACTGGCCGCGGTGCAAGCGGCAGAGGCGCGGGGATCGCGGGCCTGTCCAGCGCGCGCCCTCGGCCTCCTCGCGCAGCAGCTTCTCCACCAGGTTGTTCAGGGTGTGGTTGGTGCGCAGGTCGGCGGGTGACGCCCGGTCCTTGCACACGGGGCAGGTGGGCGCCACTTGCACTTCCCAGCAGCGGCTCACGCACCCGCGGCAGAAGTTGTGGCCACAGTGCAGCGTCACCGCATCGCGGAAGGGGTCGTAGCAGACGGCGCAGAGCAGCTCCTCTTTGAAGGAGCGGGAAGGCCCGGGGGACGCGGCGGGCCCGGGCTCCATGACCCATGAGCTGCGGGATCCGGCACCCGTAACTTTGGCTTGCGTCCCTCCCGCCAGGCAAGTCGCCGACAGCCGGGCGGTAGGCGGTGCCCAACCCCTTCCTCTCGCGGCGGTGAGCGGCGGCGGCGCTGGCCAATCGCGAGTGGCGTGCTTGGCTGGTTCCGCCCCACTTCCTATTTGCGCGAGAAGGCGGGAAGAGCGGGTGGGCTGCGGAGCTGGTCGTCGCCGCCCTCTGCCGACGGGCGCGTCCCCCAGCCGCGCTGCGCTGCGCACCCTGGTGTCACTGGACGCCTGCGTCCTTATTGAAGTGGGAAATGAAGTCTAGGAACCCCTTCCTTAACCGAGTCCTGGAAACCTCTGGCCCGCGACATGGGAGACACCCGGGATCCTGACTTGGTTCCGAAGTCGTGGCTGGGTCTTAAAGCAGCTTCCGGTGGGCTCGCGCTTAGAGTGGCGGTGCCTTCGTAAAGGCCTGTCACTCAAGCCATCGTCCATCACTTCTTTTTGGCCAGTCTTCTGGCCTGGAGGCAGCAGCGAGGAAAGCGGGTGGTGGGAAGGCCTCTGAGAAGACGCGGTTCTTGCCCCGGGGTTGAATGAGTCTAGTGTTTCAGGATGTGTCTGCTTGTGAGGAAAATGACTGTAACTTACCTCGTCCCTATGAAGTGTGAGGCTGAAAGTGAGGTAAGTGTGGAGCATGCTCCTGACATCAGGCAGGTCTCCATTAAAGCAAAGGAATAAAGGACTTCTTTGAACCAGAATCCAAGCTGAATTCCTGCCGGGTTTGCCGGGCTGAGCCCCTCCGATTCCCCTTTCCTGCATCAGTGTGATTATTTTGCAGCTTTCACGTGTAGGATACCGTTCACATGCGGTGCTTCTATTCCTGGTTTCTGCTGAGAAAGGACTCTTGGTGTTGGGCGCCTGTGTCTTGAGAGCAGAGGCACTGTCTGAATTTTCCAAGGATGTTTCTAAGGTGAACAACTTTGGAAGGCAGAAATAATTTCTCGTCCAGACAAAGTTCTGGCAGAAGTAGTCCCCATTATAGATTCCAGTTTCCTAAATTTGGGAATTTCTCTTCTATAATGCAACCTACTGGGGCCCTTATCACAAAGACTTGTGGGAATTGAGGCTCAGGAAATTGGCCCAGTAACAACGCTGACTACACTTACTGCTGTTAAGAATTGTCCTTTATCTCTGACCCAGTGGACTCATATCTCCTACCAGCGTTCATGAAACTGTAGCAAGCTAACTTCTTGCAAGTAGGATAAAATTTCTAACCCTTTACAGTTCTAGATAATTTTCTTCCAAATTTTTTCAGAATAGCCCTTTCCTCATAGGGAATGCACATCACTAATTTTCATTGCCTTCAGTATTTCTTATATGGGATCTATATTCACCTGGGGAGCTTTGTATATGGAGATTCCCAGACCCCATTTCATCCTTCTTACCTGTCTTGGCCAGGAATCTGCATTTTCATGTGATCACCATGTAATTCTCAAGCACACTAAAGTTTGAGAGTCATTGTTCTAGATCTTCTCACCCAACAAGTTGTCAGGTGTCCAGTGATGGTTAGTGGTTCAAAAATGAATCTTAGGGCCTGGGGTTGTGGCTCTGCAGTAGAGTGCTCGCCTAGCACTTGTGAGGCCCTGGGCTCGATCCTTTAGCACCACATAAAAATAAATAAATAAAAATATTGTGTCCAACTAAAAAATAAATATTTTTTTTTTAAAAAAATGAATCTTAGAAGCAATATCTAAAGAAAGCCACAAGATGGGGCTGATAATCCTGTACTACATTTACCTCCCTGGAAAATGCTGTCATTTTCTTTCATTGTGTCCTTTTACCATGTGTCCCATTTGTTCTGTGAAACTATCTATATTGCTATCTGTGGGTTTCATTCTGTTCTTATATGATTTTCTTTGTTTTGTTGCTATTTTTTCTCAGATTCTGAGTGGGACCACAAATCAAAACAAAGATGTAGAGTAGAAATTAACATGTACCTTTTTAACTAAAAATCAAAAATTAGCACTAGAGCAATGAGGTTCGCCAGTCCTTTTGGAAATAGGGAAGGGTTATATTCCAGACTCTAGCACTAGCCAGGGAGGGGCATGGCCTGGGGCATATATTTTACTTTTCTGATTTCCTTTTCCTTAACTGTATAAGGAAAGGTAGCATTAATTGCTCCAAGTGTATACCAGATCAGACACTGAAACTGTCTAATTCTTTACATAATTTCAGGTAGGAGTGACAAAGATTTTATCTAGAGATCAGAGATAAGATCTCTAGATAAATTTCGGTGACTATAACAGTCTGTCACCAACTTTTCTTTCAGTAGAAACACTTTATTCAGAGGTATTTATTAAATTTCATGTCCTCAGTAACTAAACTACTACAGTAATCTACAAAGTTCTCATTTTCTCTAACTCTCCCTACCACATGTCCCAAGCCAGGCACAGCTATATTTCCAAACTCCTTGCCATCATCTTGTAAATCTATGTAGGGAGCAACATTTTTTAAAATGTTGTTAGGGTATAAAGAGAAGAGAGACTAATGTTTTCTGTTGCTATAATTGAGTACCACAGACTGGGAAATTTATTGAGAATATAGATTCTTTAGCTCACAGTTCTGGGGGCTGAGAAATCCAAATTCTGGAAGCATGGTGCCAGCCTGATAAGGGGCCTCTTACTGCATTTTAACATGGCAGAGGGAAGCAGGGCACACATACCAGTAATCCCAGTGACTCAGGAGGCTGAGGCAGGATTGTGGGTTCAAAGCCAGCCTCAGCAACTCTGCAAGGCCCTAAGCAGCTTAGTGAGACCTTGTCTTACCAAAAAAAAAAAAAAAAACCTGGGGATGTGGCTCAGTGCTTAAGCATCCTGGGTTCAATCCCTGGTACAAAATAAAAGTGGCAGAGGACATCACATGGCCTGATAGCTCAGGTCTCTTCATCTTATAAAATCTTCATCTAATCTGAATTACCTACCAAAGGTGCATCTTCAAATAACATTGGCATATGAATTTAGGGATTAAGTTTCCAACACAGGAAATTTTAGAGGACACATTCAAACAGAGCAGAGAAGAATGTCCTCTTTTCTTTTTAAAGCAGTGAACTAGAAAGTAACTACTACAAATAAAAGGAAGAGATTGATTACATAAACAAAGCAAGCCCTAACTATATGCTGCCTACAGGGAACGCACTTTACACATAACATACAAATAAAAGAACAAGGATGGAAAAAGATACACCATGTTAGTGCCAATCAAAAGAAAGCTAGCATGGCTGTGTGTATATATAGGACACAGCAGCTTTCAGATCAAAAAATTATTACAAGGATAAGGAACCCAGATGCTGAACAAGGAAGGTAGTGGCAGGGCTAACAATAGCACCTTTAGGGACAGCCAGCCAGAGCTGCAGACCTAATGGAGCTTTTTCATCTGTTCTCAAGGACATCTTGGTGGAAAGCATTTTAGTCTGAAACTTGGGGAGTAATAGTGATGACTTAGACCTTGGACCTTCTCTGAGGACTACACCATGGAAACATGGAAGATATGGGTCTCCTAGTTGATCTGAATAAATGCAGGGATACCTTCCATAATATGAGTTTTGGGGGCTGGGATTGTGGCTCGGTGGTAGAGCGCTCACCTAGCACGTGTGAGGCCCTGGGTTCTATCCTCAGCACCACATAAAAAATTAAAGATACTGTGTCTAACTACAACTAAAAAAGAAACTTAAAAAGAAATATGAGTGTTTAATGTGAATGTCAAGGGAAATATCAGCATAATAAACTGCCTGCCTCCGGATTTGGCTATAGATATCTTTTATTTTATCCATATGTTTTTTATTTCTTGATCATTTATCATTTTTTAAGATACGCATTTATAATATGTGACATGAAATATTTTAATAAGGGGATGGATTATCTCATAACAGGAAATCTGGAGGCAAAAAGGCCTCAGGGTTGGTTATGTCAGTTCCCTGGATTCTTCTCATCTTTCTAGTCTGCCTGTGGCTCTTCAGGTTAGATAAATAATAAAATGATAGCAGCAGTTCCAGGCATCTTATCCTGATATGAACCAATGTCAAGAAATTGAATTGACCTATTTGTTCCCAGTTATGTCTCATTTCTAGAGCTAAGAAACCTTTCCTAAAACCATCTAGAAGACTTCCTCTCACACCTTATTGTCCCGAACTAGGTCACATGCCTGCCTCTAAATTCGTCATTGGCAAGGGGAGTCAGACTTGTATGATTAACTTCAAGTTGCTGGATTGACCCAAGTCACACTGCAGTAAGAAAAGGAATAAAGATATGTAAAAGGAGATAAAAGATAAGGAAAAAACTATAATTGTATATATGAAAGCTCTATGGTCAGATTTACTCCCCAAACCTGTTTTTTTTTTCTCCAGAAAAAAAAAAATTCTGAGAAATCTACAAATCTTAGGGTTACTATAAATTCACTCATCTGTGAAAAACTGCCTCATTCTGATTAAAGCTGAAGGTCACTACACAATGTATTTTCAGATTAGATAAAGCAAAAGTGGGTATATTTTAAGGCACATCCCACATGTTATCTAAATAAGAGACAATATCAAACTGAAGATCCCGGGAGAAGACAAGACTACCATGAACATCTTGCAATCCATGATCAAAGTACTGAATTCACCAGACTGAAGTCATTTCCATATACCTTCTCATGCCTATTCCTACAAAGTTTCCTGTAAAAGAAGAGACCGGGATCCCCAAAGCACTTCTTGCTCTTGAGAGTCTGCACTGTGCTCTAAGAATGTGTGTCTTTCCCTTTGCCTTTCAAATAAAGCTCTTCCTCTTTACTAAAACCTGATGTGTCCTTCAATACTTTTAGGTGATGTGTCAAGAACCTAGAAGGTTCGAATAGGCATCTCTGCCCCTGGATAGACCTCTTTGAACCCCCTTATGGTGACAACACGATGAGGAGATGGTCATTGAAAAGTGTTTATTTACTATGAAAGAGAGAAAAATCACTTTTATGCAGGTTTTAGTATTTACTTAAGAGGCATTTCCCTAAAAGCTCATGTGAAAAACAATGCAAGAATTTTCAGAGGTGAATTGATTAGATTATGATTGTG